TGATATGTCGTCTTTGCTTAAATCTTAATCCAGGTTTCCTTGTTTAGGTTGGTAATAATTCCATTATAATTGAGAGTGCATTTTAACGAAAGTTCTGAGAAGAATTCTATGATGATTGGATGAGGATTCTAGGTCCAATTCTAATAAGAATTCAAAATTAGTTCTGAAATTCTACTTAAGGGAGCTTGATGAAAATTCCATGAACATCCCGTGAGCTCCAAAGATGCTCTCTGCGGATAGTTCTAAAAGAATTCTGGGGTGATTCCTGAAGATACTTCCCAGATAATTTTAAAGAGTTCAAAATAAATTCTGAGAAGAATTCCAATGGAATCGAATTTTGAGAATTCAATCTCAAAGGAATTATGGTGAGAGTTTCAAAGTTATTCTGTGATGAATTTTTGTTTTGGATAATTCTGAGGAAATACTGTGGGAATTCAATGGAGAATACGAATTGAATTTCCAATTGAATGCAGGGGAGAAGTTCAAGATTATTCTAAGCAGAAATTTATGAAATTTCTGAGGTGCATGGAAATTCTAAGGAGAATTCAAATAAATTTAAAATTGATTTATGGAAGGAGCCTTCGGGAGTTCCTAGAAGAATCAATAAAAAATCGAAAATAATCTGCTTTAACTAATCATGTGTTATTACCATAGAGGTAACGCTAAGACTAGAAGGTCCCGAAGAAACGTGCTCAACTTTTTGGCTTAGCTCTGGTACTCTCTTCGGTCCCAAGCTAATCGATTCACCCCTCGAAACATAGGAAAATCCACTAACCCCTAATTTTATCTGTCAAACATTCATAGCGAATCAAAACAAACATTGTGTAGTACTAGAATTTCGACTAGAATGGGATACGTTAATCGGTTGTTATTATTTCATGCGTGAATTTAACGATTTACATAGTTGGAGATGCTTAACGTCAAATATCAGACTTAAAGTGCAGATTTTATACGATAGATGAGGAAATTAAATTATAGAGTTGATAGCTCCGTTATAGCAACAATCAATACGAAACTAACGATTTTAAATTGGCTCACCACTTTAGTAGCCTATTGGTCCCAAGCAAACGATTAACGTACCCTATTCTAGTTGAAATTCTATTACTACACTATGTTTGTTTTGATTCGCTATGAAAGTTTGACAGATAACATCAGGGGTGTGTGGATTCATGCAGAACAGACCGTTGTTCTGGTACTGAGTGAGCCAAAAATAATAATGATTTTCTTCGGGACCCAGTGGTCTTAGAGTTACCTCTATGGTTATAGCAACGGGTGGAAACTAACGATTTTAAATTGGCTCACTACTTGACTAGCCTATTGGTCCGAAGCAAATCGATTAACGTACCCCATTCTAGTATAAATTCCAGTACTACACTATGTTTGTTTTGATTCGCTATGAAAGTTTGACAGATAAAATGAGGGTGTTGGTTCTGGCCACACCGAATGCGATTTCCTTCTCCCCGCGATCAGCTAGTGGTAGCAGATGCCAATTTAGACCAGTTTCTCTAGCCGTTCTGGCAACCGCGGTTGCACAGCTGATTGTGTGTGAGGCAAAAACGGATATTGTAACCGAACCAACGATCAGATTTATTTGAACACCCGAGCAGTGAAGTGCAATAAAGTGCCATTGTAAAGTTTGTGAAAGTTCTCAAATAAAGTTCTTTTCTTACCGCTTACCGTGATTTGCTGTCCGTCCTGTTAAAGAAATTAAAGTGAACTTACCTGTGCATCTGCTGTGCTGCTTCCTGCCTGTGTCATCTGCTGTAAGTGGCGGCTATCCACTGTCGCTGCCCACCACCAAGTGAAAGTATAAAAACACAACATAGGATAACTATTTTCGTGGTAAGCGCCCAATGAGGTACAGAGAGAGGTGGCGCAGATCGTGAAATAGGGTTGTATTAGTAAACCAAAAAATCAACGTAAACGCAAGTAGTGACGTCACTACTTGCGTGTACTTGCGTGTATCGTACAGTGGTTGTGTGAGTGATTGCTTCACCTCGGTAATCCAGCTCATTGGTAAGCGCCTACATACATTTGGTGCCGTGACCAATCGTTTGACACCTGCGGGCAACGTTTTCAAGTCTATGTAACCATTGGATGTGTGAAGTGAAAAACGCGATACACTGCTGCAAGGATGCCGTTCCACTTCCAGCTACGATGGTGTGGCCTTCAAGGTAGCCATATAGCTGAGCTACTTACTATATACAAATTTTACACTGCCCTATTATAACGGAGTTATCAATTCTTTACTTTCATCTCATCATCTATCGTATAAAATGTCCACTTTAATTCTAATATTTGATGTTAAGCATTTCAAACTACGAAAATAATCTATTTCCAAGAATTTCAAGAATGCAATATTATTTTTGTAAAAGCTTGTTCGCCTCTAAGTTTAAGAGAAGGGGAATTATTCTAAAAAAGTTCTTGAGATCATTCTGAAGAAATTCTGTGAAAAGTTCTTAGCGAATTATCAAAGTTATCTAACTAGATATACCAAAATTCAAGATTATAAAAGAATGGGAATTACTATTTGCTAGTCATCGTGTATAACGTAAATAAAAGTAAATTATTCAAATCACTTAAATACTCTTCACAGGAGATTCCGTTGTGAGATTCGATTAAATTAGGAGAATTTATGAAATTTGATTTTAAGTTCCATGACATAAAAAGTTTATTTCAATATCAAACCTGTAGTCGGTGTATTATGAGTCATGCGAAGAGCGAAGCCAAGTCTACCTATCGAACTGTCAAACCAGCTACCTATCGTACAAAGCAAACAAACCTTACGATGCTATGAAAGGTCCACGAAAGGTATTGCAATAAAATATAAAATATAATCGAAGAAATGATAATAAACACGCAGTGAGCATTCAATTGTCATGGGATACGTTTGGTAATGACCAGTAATGAGAATTTCTACTATTTTTTGTTAAGATAATTTGACAAAATCACTGATACAACACTGATTTACTACAGCCGCTATTATTTTTCCTCGCTAAAAGTCATTTGAAGTTGATGTAGAAGTCCTCTGTTGCCAAGTTAAAAGAAAGGGAATTTTTCGAAAACCGTGATGCGAGTTCAACTGTTTTTCTCTTGGCGTGACTCATTATACACCGACTCTAATCAAACCGTATTTGAATTTCTAAATTACCATATAAATGGTTATTTATTTATTATTTCAAAGTCACTATTTGGTCATTTCCGTAATTTTAGTCACTAAAGTCACTACTATTATCACCGACAAACCAACATGACACTTAATTCTGACTTATTCACGAAAATCGTAAACGGCCATTTTAAATGTGCAGTGATCCGAACTGTCAAAACCATAGGATTTTTTTTTATCTAGATAAAAATAATTAGTCCAGAATAGATCAGACACGAACCAATTCATTACTTTTGCATGCGGATCCGTGGCTTAGATAAATATTTCCCGCGAAAACGGAGCCAGATGTCAGTAGTGTGCTTTTGTCAGAAATTTTATTGTTTTTACTATGGGCATTCATGTCGGTTTGTCGGTGCTATTATATCGCACCAGCACTGCGAGCCCTGTCATTGTTATATCATAGTTCCACGTGCTTTAAAAAAAATCAGTTTCACGGATGGCCACTTTTACGGATGTTCCGGATGTTCCGGTGGACGGTCCCATAGCTATCCGGGTTCACGTTTTTGTCATGACCCTAAATTCTTTCATACACCACAATTCCAAGCATTTTTGAAGAAACCGTGGAGCTGTGGTTTGAACATTTTTACGGATGTTCCGGATCTTCCGGAGGACCGTTTCATCTCCAGGGTCCATATATAGGAACCATGACTATATTCTGACTAATTATAAACATTTGTGCTCTTTAATCAAAATTATAGATCTTAAGCCACTTGTAAAACCCATAAGCACACCTTAAAAAAAAAGTGTAACGACTCTTTTCGCTTTTAATAAAAGTAGAGGGCCTTATTTTCACATAATCTACAGACCCAAGAAATTCTAGACGTACCAGATTTTTTAAAATTCATCATGAAATTGCTAAGCTATGTCATTGCAAACTTGCGTTACACGTTTTTCGTAGGCATCGTGTTCAGAGTGTTAATTGCTCACTAATCGTTAAAGCATGAGTAATATTGAAAAGTACCATCATTACCCGATTTTGTAGATATGCTCATTTCGTCTCATGGGGGTGCTCAACTCACCCCGTACCTCTAAAATATGGTACTTATGTCAACCAATCTGAAAACTGTATTTTTCAACTAATTTCACACTTTTAAAAACGAAAAGGATTATATTGAACTATACTGCCGTTATACGCATAACTGTCCCATGTTCTATGCAATCCTTATGCACCGTGGGACTCTTATGCGTATAACGGTAGTATAGACGTCTAAAATTTTAAATAGTGATGCATTAAGTCACCAAATAATGTGTACAATGCTTAAGGTGCTTATTATGCCCTTTCTTCCCCTAAATCTTATGAATTCGGATTTTTTTTTCACAAAAAATAAAACGCAAATGCGATCAACCTAATTTGCATTGATTTTGTGTATGTTTATTATCGCAATAATATCAGGTTCAAATTTTACAACTGGATTAGTCTTATCCACTCGAACGGTTTATTAGCCTAGGTCAGGAAAAAAATGCATTTCAATAATTGAGACATGCGTTCGAATATTTGTTTCATTCATGTGGTTTCTCCTTATTTGCCTATAAAAATGGTAGTCTAGTTGGGATATTAGAGCTGTCGCCACAATATTTCAGTCCTAAAAATATGCCACTTTTCATACAACAGTATTGACCTACTATACACGCAACACAACGCTGCTTGCTCTTATTTACGGACGCATTCTTTCCTGTCAGCCAGCAGCGATTCCCCGATTGAGCCGTCAGTCGATCTCACAAACGTTTGTCCTAACCTCTAATATTTTGCCTATTTTCAATGGCGACGGTTCCTAGAGGAACAGGTCCTCAAACTTGCGTTTCTGAAGCATCTCCTCCTCCTCCTCCTCCGCCACCGGCGTCGTTGTGCTTCGTTCCGAACGTCTGGTTGCTTTTGTTACCAACAGCTCCCTGTGACGAGTTCAGCCAAAATTCTCGCTTCAGTTTCTACGGAAATTGCAAACGCGCACGCACATGGGAAGAGAAAGGAAGTTTGCATCAGGTTGGGTTTGTCCCGTTTTCGGTAGTTAATGCTAGTTTTTTTTTTAGGTTAGGCGTGGGTATGTATATTGAACATCAGTTGCTTTTCTTTATGCTAATTGTATAACGCGTTATGGCTATCATTTGGGCTAGTAAGTTTGGTTTGCGCAATGCGTCAACATCTAGAACCATGAACTTAAATGGAACATTTCTCTAATGTGCATAAATTTGGTTAAGGGCTAAACGAAGAAATGCGTGAAATGTACTACATTAAGAGAGCTTTCAATTTGCTAAGTAATTATAACGGCTGGATCTGATCCAATAACGAATTTCATCGACGTTTCGAGTCTCATGCAAAGCATTCTTCAGGGTTAGCTATTTGAATATTTATTAACAAATATTCCAGTAAACAATATGTGGAAGCCATTACAATTACCCTAAGTAGTTTTTTTTATGATGTATGAAAGACATAACTACAGTGAATGTTCGATAACTTGGTGATGTTTGTCCAATGAGTAGCTTTATGTAGCATAAATGAAATGACTGGCGTAAATCTAAATGATGATTGAAATGATGGCATCATTTGCAATGGATTTCTAACAAGCTGCGTGCAGGTTCATTATTCTGTATAGCGTGAAGCTTTATCATCTACTTCTTGCAATTAGTGTTTTGATTCAAAACTCCTATAAAGTCTGCTTTTTTTCTGCATTGTTGTTTTGCGGCTAATCAAGCATGTCTATTGAAACTCAGCTTCAATACGACAATAATTACATAGACAAAGATATAGATAGATGGATCGTAGTTCTTACATAAAACCTGGGGTGTAAAATTATCACGGCTATTTAACTGTACACACTTTGGACACATAAAAACAATATTTGTCTGTCTGGTTTAGCTTGAGTTCGAAAAAGAAGGAATTATGGTGTTCTGTAGCGAGCAGAGTAAAGTGTCTTATGGAAGGGTCTCACTTGGCTTTAGGAGTTTAATATATGTGATTTGCTCTAAACCTGCGTTCGTTTCTGGTGGTTTAATTGACGGTTGTTGGCATCGTCCGAGTTCGTTTCCTCCTCTTCCCTCATCGTGGACAGTCTTTTGTCGATTTCACTCATTTTCCTCAATTTGTTCTCGGATAGTCTGCATGCATGAAAGAGATTTTATTAGTGTTTTTTTTTTCATCCTCGTCATGACATTTTTCAGCCCTCATACTTAATTTTGTTTGCTGAATCTCGGAAAATTTTGCCAGAATTTACACAGCCGGCAATCATTTTTTCTGAGATCTCTGCAAAAGTGACGTTTGGTTGCTGAACCTTGGACTTATGTTAGCTGAGTTCTCAGTAAAATGTCAGTAAAAGCACTCGGCTGTGCGAATCTCGACAGATGCCGAGATAAGGAAAACAAAACTTAGTGAGCTACCCACAATAAACTAACTAAACTCACGATTGTTGTTGTTGCGTTTGTTGGTTGGTGTTTGGATTGTCACCACTGTTGAGACTTCCCGGTGGGTTTTTACGGTAGTTCTGGGAGGTTTTCTTGGTTTGCTTCTTGGTGAACAGGACGTTACAGTTGTTCACTTGCTTCCAGATGGTGGTTCGATTGACTTCTTCCGATATGTTGATTTGGGGTTTGGAGATGAGGGTTCCATTTTCCTGCGGCAGCTGCAGATTGTCGGCCGAATGTTGGCCCGAATCCTGTGAAGGAGTACACGAAGAAGACCGGAAATGTTTCTTTTCGATGATGATGGATATGGTATTGTAAGAAGGCGAGTTGATTTTTTTTTATAAGAACGACCACAAGCACAAAGAGAATCAAAAATTCAATTCAAATTATATGAATACAAAATGATCAAATCATATCGGGTACGTGGAAATGAAACCAATTAGAATGCAACTATTTTTTTTTCCCGCAATGGTAGTATATTGATCATAATTTTTACATGCCAATTATATCATGTTTCAGTTCCATTGTAAAAATATCGCAAACATTTGATATTTTCATGTTTTGCTGTTTCTATCAATATGATCTATTTTCACTAGTTATGTTTCCATATAAATTCATTAAATTACTTGCGACATTCATAATGTACAATACACTTTCTGGTTTGTCTTTCACTGATCATTAATTTTACATCCAATTTCACTACCAATTACTGCTATACTCTTATGTCCAGAACCCTTTAAAACTTAAGCAAAATTGTTCCAACATGCGTAAAATAAAACAAAAATATTATCAATGTTCAGAAAATGTAACTGAGCGACTTAGGTTTCTCTAGTGGTTAGTGACGATGATTTGAGTGCTTGGCACGGGTAGTAGCGTGTGATTTTCCTGTCAGAGAAAAAATAAAACGAAAGAAAAGAAAAGTGAACGAATCGAAAATGATACACTTCAATCTGGTCTGGTTGTTGTTAGTGTTTTTACTATGTACTTATCACATTCGGTATTTCTAGGAATGAGCGGGTGATGCGAAAATGTATGTACAAAGAAGAGCTTGTATACATAATTGGGAAAATGTAGAAAAGCAAGATATTCTACCTTATGAACTAAAACACAGCAAATTTAACTTTACTTATTTTGTGCACATCTAAATGTATGCTTAATTTCACAAACTTATCTAGTTGCTCAAAAACCAATAACTAGACATATAATATTTCAACACTTTTAAAAGAAGTTGAGTGTGCAAGGGACGTATTTGTATACCTTAATCAACTGAGCAAATCCACGCCAAATAGCGAAAAAATAAATTAATTTCAGATTTTCCCTCTCCGAATTCCCTAAGAGAAGAGGTGACAATACGGGGGCGAAAATGAACCACTTTTCTGTCAAACGTGAACCAGCTCCTGATTGGTCGATTTCATGTGCGTAAGATAGAGATAGAGATAGATAAAGATAGAGATAGAGATAGAAATAAAAGAGGAAGAAGCCAATTGTCACCTCTTCCTCTTAGCGAATTCCATGAGACTTTGGAATTATTCGCTATGGGACTAAAAAACGTCAACCGTTCAAACCCCAGCACAACACAGAAGTTTCGTCAATATTTCTATCAATATAGGTGGGGTGAAAAGTAGCCTCCTTGACCGTCAGAATGCGCTGCAACTGCAAAAAAGGTTATGGTGCCTCTTGTAGTCCGTTCATATTTAGGCAGACATTCCAAAGTTCAGTGTGATACTGTATTTAGTTTTGTTTTGACAGCTGATTGTTGTTTACTGAACATGATGTATGGATAAAAACGATTTTCGTTCTCTCATAAAACATTATTTTTTGAAAGGCAAAACGGCGCAGGAAACAAAATAAAAGTTGGATAAATATTATGGGGCTAATGTTCCGTCAGATTACACCGTCAAATATTGGTTTCGAGAGTTTCGTGGTGGCCACAACTCCAATATCGATCAAGTCCGCAGCGGCAGTCCCTCCGATGCGGTTACAGATGACAATGTCAAAAAATACATGAAATGGTGTTGGCTGACCGGAAAGTGACGGTACGCGAGCTAGCAGATACCGCAAAGATTAGTACTGAGCGCACACGCCATATTTTGGGCAAGATTCTGCATATGAAAAAGTTATCCTGCCGCTGGGTGCCGCGCCAGCTCACTCCTGACCAAAAACACCAACGAGAGAGCACTTCGAAAAAGTGTTTGGACTTGCTGATGCGGAATCGGGCGGACTTTTGGCGTCGATTGGTAACTGTTGATGAAACCTGGATCCACTATTACACCCCAGAGAACAGAATGTGTGCCCGGCAATGGACTGAAGCCGGCACGAGTGCTCCAAAGCGACCGAGGGAGGCTCGATGGGTCGTAAAGGTTATGGCGTCGGTTTTCTGGGTTTGTCATGGCATACTCTTCGTGGACTACCTCAAAAAAGGAAAACCCATCAACAGCGAGTATTACTGTGCATTATTGGAGCGATTGAAGGTCGAAATCACTGCAAAACGGCCTCACATGAAGTGAAAAACACGGCTAAAATCAATGACTTACGGCTCCAATTGCTTCCGCATCCACCTTATTCGCCCGATTTGGCTCCCTCAGACTTTTATCTCTTCCCAAACCTCAAAATATGGCTCATCAATAAAAAAAATTCAGCTCAAGTGAGGAATTTCAGAATTTTTCAGACCTTCTGGAAAATTACTTTTCGGACGGGATCATGAAGTTGGAAAATCGCTGGAATAAGTGTATCGAGCTAAAAGGGGACTATATTGAATAATATAAAAACAATTCTTTCCTAGGGAGGTTACTTTTCACCCCACCTAGTACTTTTATGTCAATATTTTCAACAATATTCTCGGTGGGGGCTGCTCGTTGATAAAATTGTTGTATCTGATGGTATATTCGAAGACAAATCACAAAAACCTTGACAAATATTGAAGAGGAACAGGCCCCATCTGCTGCTGTAGCCAAACAGACGGAGAAAATTAAGGGACATATTGAAAAGCGAAATTAATCTTTTTAGATTTTGCATCAATATGTTCACCAATGTTTTCGTCATCAATAATTACATCAATATGATTGTCCATACTTTTAAGTATTGACAATATGTTTGACCGTGTGTTGCTTGCTGCCATTTGTCGTCATTTCAATTAGATGAGAAGTTTTATTGGAAAATATCGACATGACGTTTTACAAATTAGCGCCAACTCAAAATCGAGGGAGGCGACACATCTAAAGCTCAATTCTAGATGCTCAACAAAACTCACATTTCGAAAAATCTTCTTTCATTTCTCGCATCTACTTGCATTGCGCATCATATTTTTGCAGGAAATCTTCAGAATCATCATCAAACTTTTTTCTATCTACTCAATAATCTCAATATAACTCCACTGTGATAGAAAGTATTTTTTTTTTCGTTTCATAAACACGATTAATAATATGTTATCATCATATTCCTTAAATATAATAAGTAGCATGTGGGGACCTAAGATTTACACATTTGATACGAAGTTCAGTATAAAATTCCAGTATATTTCAACGAAATATGACGGATTTTTTGAAAGGGTATTGACTTAAAACTTTTGAGTAATAATTTAATGTAATAATATGTGAATGCAAAATGAATAAGCAAACAACATGTGATCCATTGACGTTGATTTCGCATTCATCGGGATATGATCCATGTCAAGGAGAGAAAGTCTGGCACTGTGAAACTAGTCGTCTCATTCACTCTTACTCTACCTACACACTTAAGTATCCTGAGGACCTCAACTGGTGCAGAGAGCCATCGTGGAAGATTTCCATCCTTGAAGTCTGTTTCTGATCCCAGTATTTGTAACTTTGTGGACGACTCTATCTACGATGCAGGAAAGATTGTGTTTTGCTGTGGCTAGCTGCGTGCACGTTTAGTAGATAGAAAGAAGATTGCCGACGATTCTGAAGATTTCCTGCAAAAAGATGCGCGATGCAAATAGATGCGAGAAATGAAAGAAGATTTTTCGAAGATTGCTTCGCTAGTTGGAGATTTGTTAAGCATCTAGACTTGAGATTTAGATATGTCGCCCCCCTCGGTGGAAACCTCATAAAATTTCTTGAATGTTTAAATATCGGATTTTCTGAATCAGGGTTGCATCCACTCACTTAAAAAATCGTCGGTTGCGACATTCTGAAAGCGAAATAGGCAGGTTTAATGTGTCAAAAACATACTTTACAACCTCTTCTTGTAACCTACAAGTACAAAATATCGTTATTGCATCCAATGAATCCATAATTTAGAAAAAGATTATTTATAGCAAAGTCAGTCGAAGCAACCATGTTTTGATTTCTCATAAAACATTCAAATAGTAGAATTCAGAAATATTGCAAAGTTCTCGAAAAAAAAACTCTTCACTTAATCTTTGGTTTCTGATATCGATATCTGAACATTTTTTCAAATCCTAGATCTCACAAATTGTATGAAAGTTCATTTTAGAATCTGAAATTAAAACTTCAATCGCAGTACAGGACCTACAACCCGAATAAACTGCTCATGTTTAAAAGAACGAAAAATCTCCCAAAATTATTATTTTCGAGCTTGTAGTATTTAGGCTACTGTCACTCGGCCTAGTGTTATAAAACCATCCGAACAGAGAGTGCTGCTGTTTAACTGCTGTTTAACACTCCTATAGAGTTTTATACCTTAAATTATTGCCAATCCGTCAGGCAAATTCAGTTTTGATTTGTTTTCAAATTCTGGCACAATGAAGGTAAGTTCTTTGATGAAGATCACTTTCAGAACTTCCCCCCTGAACTTCTGCGATGTTTTAAAATTTTCTCTGCAGTTCTCTAAACTTTCCTGGACTTTTCAAAACTTTTCGAAGGTTCCCACTATTTTGCTAAAAATAATGGAACTGTCCTAAACTTTTCGAAATTTTCCTGATATTCATGGAACTTTCTGCTCCGAAGTTCGCAAAACTGCTCCAAATTTAACGTAACTTCCCTAAAGATCTGTGAACTTCCCTGAATTTCGTCTTTCTTCATCGCATTTCAAGCTTATTGCATATCGGATTATTGCGTGATCTCAACTCAGTGTTTTAGGTGCACTTCCACAGTTATTAATTGAGAGCTTTCGATGCCTGTATCATTTTTGGATTAATATAATTGTGTGGCAAGTACAATCATACAATAGAAAAGTCGAGAAATGTTCCAACCCGAAAAATGAACCGCAACAATAGTGGCTTTCGAATAAATATCGACAACTATGAGCGCACTGGTTGTGATTAAGCCAA